GTAGGGATACCCAAAGCAAGGAAGTTAGCCCCCCCACTGACTTTCTTGGATGGAGCAAGACGTATTAAAAGGTCTCGCCCGACTCCATGGGTACGGGCTCCACCTCGCCCGACCCTAAGGATGCGGTTTCCGTCTCGCCCAACCTTGAGGCCACGGGGGTCTCACCCAAGGCCGCGGGTTCCATCTCGCCCGACCCCAAGGCTACAGGCTCCGTCTCGCCCGACCCCTCGGGGTGCATGCTCCATCTCAGCCGACCCCTTGGGTTCGTGCTCCGTCTTGCCCGACCCCTTGGGTTCGTGCTCCGTCTCGCCCGACCCCAAGGCCGCGGGCTCCGTCTTGCCCGACCCCTTGGGTTCGTGCTTCGTCTCGCCCGACCCGAAGGTCGCGGGCTCGGTCTCACCCGACCCCAAGGCCGTGGGCTCCGTCACGCTCGACGGGGACCCATACCGTCGCCAACCACTCTAGGTCCAAGCGTATGGGCCTAGGTCAAAACTCTGACACAAGGAAAGAGACTGGCACGACTCAATGTAACCCGTGGCCATGACAGACCATACCTGAGGATTCACATCAAGAACAGCGTCGGGTGTACCGATGTTGTTCTGCCTAACCCTCGTACTAACGCTGACAGGCGCGTCAGTTCACCACGATGTCTGCCGGGACGGAATGGAGCGCCATGACCGGTAGATGACGCCTGCGCATGGCGCCAGTGACGAACAGGGCCGCGACGTGGAGCCGTCCCTATCGACATCTACAGGATCGACGGGACCCGCATGAAGGAGAAGAAGGACCCGGCGATCCTGAAAGCCTTCTTCTCTCTTGTTCTTCTCCTTTTCCTCCGCTGTAACCTGCGTTTTCCCTTCACCTATAAAAGGGGAAGCAGGGCGTCCCATGAAAAGGGATCCAGATCCGCACGATACCGAACCACGAGATAAAACACACAAGGGCACGACATAAGCACACGGCTGAGCAGCGATCGAGCTCTTGGCACCCGTTCTCTCCTTTCACAAGAGACTTGGGATCCTTTCCCTCTCTCGCTTGTTTGTAACCCGTACTGCAAACCAAGTGCTGGTAACACGAGCAGCAGCAAACTGGACGTAGGGACGTTCTGTCCGAACCAGTATAAACCCTTGTGTCCTCCGAGCACACCATCCGAGCCAGACGCGTAAATACAAATTTACTCGTCGGTGGTCCGAAAACACCGACAATAAGCATTTAGGCATAGATTCAACTTCAAATCCTCCTATGAAGAGGCATGTTGAGCAAGCTGTACATTCGCTCCTTAATAAATCATCTTTTAAATCAAATTTTCTCAAATTTAATTAATTCTATATAAAAGAGTACTAACATATATGACACTAGAAAACCAGAAAAGTATAGCTTGACTCCATCAAATTTAAAAAGTTTAATTTCAAATAACTATAAAAATAATTTATTCCGGAACGGACCGTACAAGGTCCAAATATCACCGCGTTCGGCTGGTAAGTGGAACAGTAGATTTTGGATTATTTCGGATGATTCAATAGTATTCTGTGAGAGAAAAATAAGTTGAAACAAGCAGGAAGTAGTACAGCCGAACGCGGTGATTATTTGGAAGCGTAGCCCTCCTAGATTAGGCGAAGACTTGTGGCTGCTGATACTTATGAAACAAGTCCTGAGAGACTATCAACTACACACGAAAAAGAAAAGAAAGAAGACAGCAATGCCACCAACAACACTGGCGGAGCGCCTTAGAGGCGAAACTGGGCCATTGCCCTCCTGTTCGTTTGTGCTTGTTTGGTTTATAAGCCGTACTTTTTCAGTCAACGAACAGTATTTTTCTCTCACACCAAATCAGTCAACGGTACTTTCAGCCATGACTTATCAGCCAAACGAGCCCAAGCGAACATGACGCTTATCTGCCAACACTTTACCATGTAGTAGTTATTCAATAATATAGATATGCTAATTAAGGTGGAAAGAAACGTTGATACTTGATAGAATGCTAATCTTTTCTTTGCTATACGCAACTACTAATTTCAACTAAGACAAGATAATAAGAAAACAAACTAAAGCAGCAAAATTTTCCAATACATTAATTTGTACAAAATAATTTAGCCCCTGCTTGTTTAATCCCCATGCTCCGCCGCTGACCAACAAACTCAAGCACAAGAAAAGAATGGACCTTAAGATTCAAATAACTGGGCCTCGTTCGGCTTACCTTATAATCCGCACTATTCAGCTTGTTTTTTCAGTCGGAACAGTGTTTTTCTCTCACAACAATTCAGTCAGAACAATGTTTTTCAGCCAATTCAGCCAAGTTTCAGCAAGCCGAACGGGGGTTCATTCTGAGTTTGACCTGCTAGGTTGTTCAGGAGTTTATCAAAAACCTAAAAATCAAGCAAACAGGAAAGATGCCAGTAGCTGAATTCAGATTGATCTAAAATAAAGGAGGCATCCACATTTTATAAATCCATTTATCTTTGAATTATTTAGGCAAGAATGCAAGATCCGTACACTGAAATCGTAGCAAACAGCTAACAAGTCAAGCTGTTAGACAGTTAGCATCACGCTGATTAGAAGAACAACATTGGCGCAAGACGGAAACACTTCCTGTTTCAGATGACAAAACAGGTCAGGGCTTGCAACCAACTGTTCAGAAGGCGTGTTGATGCCCACGTCGCCGACGCTATCTATGTTGATCACGATCCAATTGGTTCGTGTTTCTCGCAATCCAAAAGACGCATGCATGACAAAGCTAAGGTCATAACATGCTCATATATCTCGGACTCTCTGTCTCATATCACAATTCACAAAGCTCATCAGCACGCCCGTGATCATATATACAGATCTGCCGTCAAACGCGCTACTTATGCATGGAAACAAGTGACTAGACGCGTACATTTTCCACCTTGCACAATACCAAAGGCAAGCGCCTGCGACAGGCTTCAGCTTCAGCTTCACCAACCTGCAGCTGGATCGACGGGCCGGCGGCGCGCGTCGTTTGCCTCGCGTCGCCGTGCCGCGGCCGGCCCCGACCGGTTGGACTCCACGGCGCTGTCGGGAAGTGGCCGGTCGAGCGGGAGCGGGGCAGGGACCTGCCCGCGCTCGCCTTCGGCCTGCGGCGCCGGCGGGCGGCCGAGCCTACGGGACGCCTGGCGCACGTCGCTGCCGCCGAGCACCTGCTGGACGAAGGAGAGCTCCATGCGGTCCAGGAACGCCGCGTGCCGCTCCTCCGTCCACCCCTCGGCGCGCGCCAGCGCCGCCAGATCGTCCATCGGATGGATCGGCACGCACGTACAACGGCCGGCCGAGGGTGTTGGATCTCCGCTTGTTCTTGCCCTGCCGCTGGAGAGTGGAGAATGTGGTGCCGCTGCTGGCCGAAATATCTAGCGACGAAGCTTAAGGCTAGCTGGGCGGCTACCTTATATAACGCCGTCACCGTGTAACTAACTACGACCTGTTGTTACCGGCAAGCCGGTGCTACTAACCGATCAACGCGTCAAAGTGACTTGGTCACGTCAGGGTGACAAGATTGGCGGGCCAAGAGGATAGGAACGCGACGCCAGGTGGATCAAAGCGTTGCAGAGAAGTTTTTTTCGTACGAAAGTGTGATATGGGGATCAAAAGCGACCGCGCTTTTCTGACTTCAGCGCACGCTGGTGTTGGTTCCAACTTCCAAAGGGCCAGAGAAATATCTGGCCGGGCCACTCCAGCGAATATCAAAGCTGGTGCGCCGTGCGGCCCATGCTGTGTCCACTGTCCAGTCGCATTCCGAATCAGCAGGGCGCTCGCCGCTCCGGCAGTCCATTCCGGGGAAATTCCGTGCTGTGAGCTTGGCTGGAAGGTGTACCATCAAAATATCTATAGCACTGTTCAGAACTGAAAGAGCTTGGCTAACTACTGCTTAGGATATCCCACTGCGGATTGTCATGTCAGCGTGCATACTTAGCTTCCGTGTCCTGCTCGAATGGCGAGGGACTATCGTGGAAGGCTTATGCCTGAATTTAGGTAAGTTCTACACAATGGATACCTTTACGGGGGCAACCATTGGATACTACGAGTCAATCTCTAGGAGTGGACTATGGTTCGTCACGAGCTCGCTCACCGACGTTCTGAACCGAGCGCCTAGAAAATTTCTGCTCCGTCAAATGCCATGCACAATCGCGTAGATAGCTTGATCTAGGCACCGACCTGAAGAGTGGGAGATATGAAAATCATAAAGCTCACTCGACATGGACGACATTTTTGTTCGCCGTCTCCTTGCTCCTCTTCCCCTTCTAATGGTCCTCAATGTCACCTGCAGACACGGCACGGGGCCATCTTTGTCGTGAAACATCACCGCCGGTGCGCAGAGCCTCGCATCCACCCTGCTTAGTGGGATGGCCCAAGACAGGAGATATGCAGATAGCTTCATGGCTAGACGCGGGCACCACAGGTAGACGTGGACTGCCAGCGAGCTAACGTGCAAGCTTCCGTGCAGCATATGCAACTTTGGTTTTGGATTTGAAAGCTGAATTTAAGGATTTTTTTTTAATCATGGCACAAGTTTGATAATCTTTGCATGCTCAAGTATTTGTAATCTACTCCATCATCAGTCAAGTGGGTGACAGCGGCACCATGGAAAACCTGACCTGAAGGCTAGATTTGATTGGCATGACACCGCAATAAACATGATGCATTATATATTCTGCTACAAGCCTACATACAACTCAACGACTTCTGCTTTTACTACCATCATTGGCCAGAAGAACGAATGGAGCAAAAACCTGGATTGCTGTATGATTATTATAAAACATTAGTAGACTACACAAACAAGTGCTGGGAAGGACGCTGCTATACAGAAATTCTAAAACACGTACACATACTATAAAGAATATAAACACAACAAAACAACTGCACGGCAAAGTTGACACATAATTATCACTATGGCGTATTAAGAATACAAGAATTTACATGGATCATTTTCTTAATTATACTAGCACAGATATGAATGCGCACTCATGGGATTCTGGGATAAAAGATTACCAGCGAGAAGCCAGAACTGTTGGGTACAAATTCTCAATGTTCTCATATAGAGATTTATACTTCTTCGCTGCCACTGCTGCTAGTGTTTTTCCGAACATTGTACTTGCACAGGGGGCATGTGGCATTGATGTGCAGCCATTTATCAATGCAGACACAATGAAAATGGTGGCCACAAGGGAGTTCACGGAGCTCTGCGCCATCATCATAAGCTGAGATGCAAATGCAGCACTCCTGCATAGACCAAGAGCAACAAATTCATTAGCACTAGAATTCCACAAATTAACATACAACTGAAACAAGGCCATCAGAATTAAGAGACGTCATATGATGGAACCTTGTTACATGGTAATCTATGATGAGTTTGCAACAAAGTTTGCCGGGAAGATCTAAGGTACATCATAGAGTGATAGCTACAGTTTTGGCCATGAACGAGTACTGTAATAACAAAGTTTAGCTACTATCAGTTCTTTCAGACATTCCTTCTCCATTCTGATGTTTTTTTACTTGATCTAACACATCACCTATATCAATAGTTTGTCAAACCTATTTTATCAAACTTCTTTCACTTCAACAAATAATTCAGAATCTCAGTCTCCCTAATGCAATAAGTTAAAAATCAAGAACTAGAGAATTTACCGCATCTTCAGCTGCAAGTACTTTTTCAATAGGTTGATTGGTGCCACATTCTATCATTATTCCACCAGAAGATCCAGGCACACTAACAGACTCCTTTTCAGGCTCTTCCATCTTCCGAAATTTGTATTTTGGAATTTGGCGAATGTCATCTTCAGACGCTCCCTCCTGTTTTCAATCATATGGACAGAACGTAATCATTTTTAAAATCATGCTAACAAATTAAATGTGCAATAAAAGTTATAAACAAAGAGAAGCAATAAAACAGAACACATGGTCTACAAGAAAAAGAAAACGAAAAAAGTAAATTTAAACATAGAAAGGCATGTAATTTTACCATGTCATCATCACAGTAAATCTAGCACAGCAAGCTCATACATTGGAAGTTCTCAAAGTTTGTTATATACACCATGTTTTGAAAACCAGATTGGAATCGGAAAGTTCACAAAACGGAAAATGGTATTCCATCAATCAGAATCACCACAGGCTAGTGTATATGTGGTAAATTGGCAATTGAGCTTCCAGTATTTACACGGCCTACTCATATAGGGGGGAAAGACAATGCTAAGAGCTGAGCCAACTTTCCTACTGGGAACATATCCACGTCTCCAACTCGGATCAGCCAAGATAGGTGGCAGTGCTAGATGTTTTTCATTTCCACTAGACATTGGTTTCAATCATCACAACTGTGCCGGCATGCATAATCAATCAATATTTCAATTGAGCAATTTTGCAGGTGCAATTGACAATTCAACAGCATAGCATAGCAGTAACATGACTTACTCAAAATTTCAATTTCATGATTGGCAAGATACACATGAGTTTTGGAAACTTTACAATGACTGGAACATGTAAAAACAGACCCAGTAATTGGTAGATGTTTACCAGCCTAGTCTGATGATTATTTAGCTATGCTTAGACCAGATAGTTTAGCAACCATTCAGAAAGATTACCAATATTCCTCATACGTAGTGAATTACAAGGCCTAACCAGCTTGAATTGAAGAACCTTTACCAGATTTATCTACTGACCACTGTGGCATACTGAAGCTTATATTATAAGAGATAAACTACGTAAGGTTATGCCACAAAAGTAGAAAGTGAAACTAGCAAACCGATTTACCACATCATACATAGAAAAAACTAACAAACTTTAGTAGTTAATGAAACTTCTATCAACATATATTTGAGAAGATGTACCTGATCCGACACTGCATATAAAATTGCTATGATACAAGGAAGGCAGCAACAAACAGCAATACCAATGATGCAGGCCAAAGCCACACAGAAGACGACAAAGAAAACATCAAATGCCAAAAATACGATGCAAAGCCTGCAAAAGAAATTATAAAGAAGCATTATTCTAATGGACACAAATGATGAGCCATATAAAAGGTGACTATATTTTCAAGAATTGTGTATACAATTATCTAAACAGAGAACTATGTGTACCAGTAAAGTTGAGGCGCATCATGGGTAAGAACTTCTCCACCAGCAGATACCCAATAAAATCCAATTATCCACCATACGAATGAGAACATTGTGTTAGCAGACTCCAGATGTTTAGCTATACTGCAAGACAGCAAAGAGGACATATTTGGCAGTTTACATGTTAGAACTATTAACAAAACAATTAACCGTTAAATGGGACTAGGAAATAGAAAACAATATGTGGGACGAATTCAGCAGGCAGCAGAGAATTCAAAGTGATGAAGTATGGAGCTTATAGATGAGAATTTATTTCTTTTTTGGAATCAACGAAAAATTAAATGTGGACACTGGCATATGAAGCGGAACAATGCAGTCTGAGCAATGCATAATAAAATACGAAAAGCTAACCACCAAGTTAGTCCACATATAACCAAATATGCAGAATATACCAAAAGCAATAGTTAGCCTTCCGTAGGTGGCTTACCTACAAATGCAGACTTAAAAATGCACTGCAGGTATCTATCTTACTAAGTCTATCAAAACCACATATCTGTCAAACATCTTTTCTAAAGGTACAAATTATACGGCAAAAATCAAGTGAACAGTGACATTCATTAGTCCCACATCTTTGAATTTTGAACGCCATCGTGGTTCTATGCACCAGTATGGCCAAATAAACTTGTACTACTGTGTGATCAAGTGGATGGAGATCTCAGAAACAAAAATAACTAGAGTGGGCAGTGCAAGAAATAATTGTAGTAATCTCATCACATAGGCTTCACAGACGTGGTATGTGGTACTTGTTGAAAAGTTGCTGCGCTCCACTCAATCTGGAACTAATTCAGCCTCAACATCTTAAGATCCACCCTCAGCTTTTAGTACCAATTACCTCACAGACCGCTCTCCATATGATCTAGCTTTTCAATGCATAATAAGAAAAACTATTCGCACAGCACTCTCACCAAAGGGTTTTGCTCCTGTGTCACCATTTTTTTTTCTCTGGATTGCAAAACTAGCATCGCCTTCCACCCTCAGCTTGCTCTTTCTGCCACTGCACCATTAGATCGCAATTCCATCCATCCCCCCTGTCAACAGCTGCCTAAACCCTTCCCCAATAGCTGGTCTGCTTGCTCACTAGCAGTAGAATCCATGGCCACCGTTGTATGCCAGTCCCACCTTCAAGGCTACAATCCCCTTGCTTAGCAGCGTCCAGATCCAGATAACCAAGCAACATTCCTCAGTGTCACTCCCCAGCTAGACTGGTACTGCTGCTCAATATCTCTGCATCACCTTCTACCACGATGGAAGCAGGCCGATGTCATTAGCTGGCTCACTCTGGAGGGCTCTGTCCTTGCTGCCAAAGATCGTGGAGATGAGAGGATCACCAAAGAAGACGGTACTTAACATTTTGAAAGCGAAGTGCTAGATGGAGGAAGACACCAAACAAAAGCAATCCGAAGAAAGCCCCTTCAACGGGAGTGCTATGAGAATAATTTTCCTTATATGCAAATGGATTTAAGTGAGTGGATAAATGTGCCTATATTCTGCAAAATCGGGCAGAAATTTTCAATTGGGCGAAGGAACAAATCACAACAAGATCAAATGCACTATTACGATTCGTTTATTGTTCAACAGACACAGTCGTCCCTTGATATGGTGTTCCACCTGCATTACCCAGAATAAAATTGCAACACAAACAACATTTCAAGCGACTATGGACCATTCAACCAGAAACTAGACAATAACTCAATAAGGAATACTAAACCGAAAATAAGAATCCCTAAGCTATAAATATAAACATGAAAATCACTCCAGCTACTGGCCGACAATTTTAAGGGAAGGAAATGGTAATAACTGCATATCTCTCGCCACGTACACCAATTACCTGAGGCAGTCGCCACTTCGACCACGGGAGCCGTGCTCTCTGTCGTCGTCGTCGCTGGAGGAGGACGATGTACCACTTCCGCTCTCCTCGTCGGCAGGAATTGGCGAGCCGCCGAGCTGGCCGTATCGCATGCGATACTCGATGGCGACGCAGACCATGTGAACGACGCACTGGGCGGCGTACCCAGCGATCCAGAAACGGAGCGGCATGGAGGGGCTCTCATCGTGGCTGAGCACGAGCACGACGGCGGAGACGAGGATGAAGGCGAGGTTCCAGAGGAAGTCGAGCGCCACCACGGGCCGGGAGTAGGCCCAATCCGCCTGGCGCTCCTCCAGCTGCTCCGCCGCGGCCTCCCGCACCAGCAGCGACTGCTCCCGCATCGCTCGGCGCCCGCCCCGCCGCAGCAGCCGCGACGCGCCCCGGAGAGACGGCCGGCGCAGCGCGCCCCCGCGGCGCCGCCCGACACCGCCGAGGAGCGGCGCCGAGTCCAGGAGCGCGTCGCCGCGGGGGCTCGGGGAACGCGGTGTCGCCATCGCGGGAACCCTAGCGAGATCGGGGAAGGTACGAAGGTGAGCGCGTGTTTCTGTGTAACCTTTCTTCCTCTACGGAAAGGGGACCGACCCTGAGGAAGCAGACAAAGCAGAGATGATAGTGTTGAGTCGAGATTTTCCCTCGAGAATTTCTTATTTCTCAAAATGAATATTCTTATTATATACAGTACCGGCCGACGTAATAAAATGGTTATTGCAATTGCAAGGCGTTTTGTGTGTGTTTGGAATGTCTTTATAGTACATCTAACAATTATTAATCTCCAATGGCTACAAAATCAACGTCATAGATTTGAAGCACAATTTTATTGGCACAATTGATGTTCAACCTAAATAAAATATAAATGTTTTGACTTCTTGGATTGTCAAAACTTGTCTATTTCAAATAAGAACATGTCTCTTCAAACGTGGACAGAGGAAAATTCGTTACTCAATTATTAGTTGTTTTGTCCTATGGACGACAATTTGTATGCGTACATGAATGTGATTTGCAAATTTTGAAGTATTTACAAAACGTCTAAAGCGCATAAGATTTAGATGATGTTTGGTTCACCAAATTATAATGGTATTTGATTACATAAACGAATGGGTTTCAGTATAAGCATCCAGCTCAGATTGGCCTATTACGTAGCACATTTATACCTGTCAAGACTCTAGTGTTTTATATCTGCTCCCTTGAACCACCCCTTCCTCGCAAGAGAAGCTTCACGAGCTAACACACTCGATGTCGTGATCTCACTCTCCTCCCCTTCACTCTCCCTCTCTCTACTCTTTTCTCTCTTCCAATCTTATATTCGGTTCTTCACTCAGGTGTGAGAGTAGAGGACTCGCCCATGATGAGGCCGCATGTGGTTGTTAGCAAAAATGCTTGCAAAGGCACAAGTAAGGAGAGCCACAGGCGAATAGATAGGATGCACTCGAGTCTTGGAGCAATGGCAGTGGTAAAGCTTTAGGATGAGGGGATTGTGTGTGAATGACCCATATCCAATTACATGTCTGCACATAGGGTTGGTAAACCAAACATTGATACAGTACCCTTCACTTCTGTACTAAGATATTATTAATTACATTTTGATGAACCAAACACTGTCTTAGTTTTATTAGGACAATCAATAACATGCATTTTAGCCTATTTGGCATGGCTTCGGCTCCAGTTTCGATAGCAGCTTTGGCAAAGGAGCCAGACCAAACTCCTCAGGAGGAGCCATTTTTTGTGCATGGAAGAGGAGCCAGAGCCGATTTTTGTGTAGAAGCCGGAGCTGCAATTTGTTGATCCTCCCTCCGGCTCCAGCTCCTCCGGAGGAGCACCTAGGGGAGGAGCCATGCCAAACAGGCACTTAGGGCCTGTTTAGTTTGTAACTACAACTTACCACGCCATAGGTTAGTCATGCCATAATTTTTGGCAGTTCTTTGGTTCACTACCATAACTATGACACGCCATACTTTCTTAGCACCCTATCTCTTGTGGATCCTTCCTCCGGCTCCAGTTCCTCTGGAGGAGCACGTGGGGGAGGAGTCATGCCAAACATGCACTTAGGGCCTATTTAGTTTGTAACCACAACTTGCCACGCCACATGTTAGTCATGCCGCAAAATTTTGGTAGTTCTTTGGTTAACTGCCACAACTATGGCACGCCACACCTTTTTTAGCAACATATCTCACACGTCGATGACGTCGTAGACTCATTTTCTTGTCAAGTGTGGCTTCGATTTTGCTTCTCATACTTTTTGTGGTAGCCACAGTTTGTTAGAGGTTAGGCGTGACAAATTACGACAATAACCAAACAGGCCCTACACATGGGATCCACATGCTAGGTGCACAACTAGCAGCCACACATGCGGTTTATCGCAAACAATGACAATCGGACCTCGTGTGGCCCAATTAGTAAGTTTGGGGACCTGTGTTTGCAATTTTGGAAGTTAGGGATCTAGATGACACCGTCATGCAAGTTTATTAACCTCGTGTGGCCCGTTCAGTAAGTTTTGAGGACATGTATATGCAATTTTGGAAGTTTAAGACTTGACTCTGTCATGCAAGTTTAGGTAGTGGACCCAACATGTTAGATACATATCAACACTAAGTCAAAATATCCCGGGCATTCAGTCAACATGCCATGTTGGCGTATGAATCAGTGCCTTGTTCGCTTGGCTGATAAGCCATGACTGAAAGTACTGTTAGATGAATTTGTTGTGAGAGAAAAATATTATTCGTTGACTGAAAAAGTACGGCTTATAAGCCAAGCAAACAGGGCTCAGGTTGAAAGCTGTTTGGACTAGTATTGGAGCCTGACACAAGTTTAGAGACCCAAAAATTTAGAAGTAAAAGTTAATTGGTGACGTGGATGACACCAGTGTCTAGATAATATTTTGATTTGGACTTTGAACCATCCCTGTTCTGATGACAAACTCTTGAAATAATATCAAATATAAAATATTAGACAATAACCTTTATTTAAATGTAATAATAAAGTATATAATAAAAAGGGGAAAATAAATGTCACTACTGATTGGATGTAATGAACCGACAGTGACCCCCTGCTATCGTATCGAGTAGAGACATGATCCAACAATGATCCTTTTAATATCATTGTCGGTTCCAGATACGAGACTTTCACTACTCGGTATAAAATCGAAATTGATAGGCAAGCCCTATCACTGCCGTCTGTCGATTGACCTCTACCGAGACAATTCTGATAGCGAGTTTAGACCCGACCATGGTTCTGGAGTAGTGTAGATTTGTTCGAACCAATGGCTTGCGTATTTGTAAAGGGATTCATTTTTTCTAAAGCATGGTTTACTTCCATTTGTGATGTACTCATTGGATTAGTATATGTGGACACTCAAACTTGAGACCAAACCAAGCAACTTGTATATACCAGAGAACTCCTGAAACAATACATGCATGCAGGCCAAAACATCGTGGCCACTACATACATGACAGATTTAAACACACCATATGGGTAGACCGTATAGAGACCACTAATTAACCACACGGGAAACAAAAGAGATCCCAAAGTACAAACACCCCTATATTGTTTGGATCAGGGACCTAAATGTATCCTTTGGTCACAGGAGTATACTACACTAACAGAGAGGTGTGGTGCCCTACAATGACCTCAAGTATGTATAAGACTGCTTCATCACCTAGATATATATGCTATATTTTTCTACTTATTTCCTGTATATGTTTGCCTGCAAGCAACCACATTGACCTGACAGAGAACACACGGTGTATATCCAGAAATCAGGACAGAAGAAGGTGTCAGTTCTTAGGTAAGAGCTGAACATGAAAGCCATCGGGGAAGCTGAGCCCGGGGGTACGGACTATGTTCCCTCCTTTGATTGTCCTCCAACTGCAAATCGCCAAATTTATCTTAGAATATAGATTTAAAATTTTCAGAAGAATTTAAATATTTGTGCATGCATCTTCAAGTTAGAACTGGTACCTGTACTTTGTAACCAGGCAGTGGATGAAGGTTGCCATCAAGACCTTGCTGAGATCTGTGCCGACACAGAACCGGAGCCCCCCACCGAAGGCCATGAAATGCTTCGTCCCACCGGTGATTTCCACCTTGTCCTGCTCAAGTGACACCCACAAGAGAATTGTTTAGAGTTTAGAGAAACTTCGTCGGTCAAGAACTGAAAATATGCAATCTATCGTCTACCGTTTTTCATGTCCATGCTTTTATCTTCCGAGTTATATATGCATGGAGGCTTCTAGCTATGGGCATATCTTATTACAAGTTGCTGCATCTTTTTTGCTTATGTGAACAATATAATATCTCAACTGTTATGGCTTTAAGATTGCTTAATTCATTTCTTTACACTTAGCTGTCTCTTTTCAGTGGAACAGCGCATATTAAGTAACTTTTATTTGACTATATGCTGTTCCATAAGCTGACTTCTTGACCATTCCCATGTAGACATATCACGTAGCAATAATCTACAAACAAAGAACTGAGCTTACTGCTGCAAATCCAGGTTCATCACCTTGCTATACAGGCAAGATAGGATTATTTACTCCTGTGTAATGTCCCCTTGACATATTTGTTTTTCTACTTTTCACTGATTCTAGCACATTCACCTGCCCCATTGAGAAAATGTCAGGCTAGAACCCTAAACCGGAGACAGAGCTAGGGCAAGTGGTCAGAATCCCATGCAATTTGTTGCAAAATATGCTAATATTAGTACTCTTCCAAGGCGATTGGTGCAGTTGTTTGCCAATATATGTGCACGCTCGTCTGTTTAGGACTTGGTAGACCATGCATGTGTGTATATACGTATATATTCTTTTTCTGGGTCCTTCTTATTATCCTTCCAAGTTCCAAGTGAAGTTACGATGTAGTACTCCCTCGGTCCCAAAATAAGTCACCATCTCGCATTTTGATGAGTTAAACAATTTTAACTTTGACAAATATATAGTATAAAAAATACTAATATGTGTGATACTAAATAAGCATAATTAGATTAATCACACGTTATATATGTCCATACTAAACCTATTTGAAGTCACGGATGTTGATACTATTTTTTATATATAAAATCTAGTCAAAGTTGAAATTGATTGATTCCTTATATTGCAAGATGGAGACTTATTTTGGACTGGAAGGAGTACTTGAAACTCCAGAACTCATGCGTATATCTGATTGCAATTTCCATCGTTTCGTTTAATTTACTACTCCTTAACTACTCTCCACTTATATTAGTATCTGGTTAGTTTTTATAAAATGATGATACACCTTAAATAAGATGTGGACCGCTTTCTAACTTCAGGTAGGAATTGTGCACGGTTCGATGGACATGGTGGTACCGTCAAACAAAATCCTGAAAGACTGAAACTAAAAGTGTTACTACAGGGTCCTTTTGATTCAATTTTCTACTCTCCCAGAACCCTAAGAATAACTTTCGGTTTTGCACAAATAGATCGAGAAGGGCACAAACCTGCCATCTCCACGGATTAAACGCTAATGGATCTTCATAGATTTC